AACAAGATACCAAGAATCGCATACGATTTTCAGTAGGGGAATCTCTGTCTCTGTTCGTCCACGAGTTAGACGAGGGACAGACGGACAAAAGCATCACATGCGGGGATTTTTTCAATCGAAAAATTCTATTTCTACGAGTTCAAGGATCAGTGCTATTGAATATGAGTCGAATCAAAAGTCTGGTTTCCAAATACGAGCGGAGTGACAAAAAATTCCCCTACTGAAAATCGTATGGGATTCTTTGTATGTTGTTGCAAAACACAATAAACAGCTGTTCGACTCTTAAAACTGCAAGTATTACCCTCGTCCTATCTAAGGTAATTGACGAGATTCCTAACCTCAGTGGTAGGTATATGAAAAGTGTCAACTTAACTGCATTTTTGATTTAATTTTTTCAACCAATAAATTTGTATAGGTACGCAAATGCCCTCAAACGGGAAATAAAATTTACGCCCTATACATGCGAAGAATTGAAAACGAAACATCGCACGAATTGTTAGAAAACGTTCGGCAAAAAATTTTCCCAGATGCATCTATTAATTACATAATCATTTCAAGGAAACCGATGAGAGTATCACAGTGACATTATTTAAATGAATCTTCGGTAAGGCTAATTTTACAATTGAAAATTACTTTTTCTGAAACTACATTAGAAACAACTACTTTCTTCTCTAGAAAGGGCGAAGAAAATGAAATTTTCCTGTCTAGTGAGGAAAGTAAAAAACAATTGCTGCGTTATCTAGATTGCTATGTGTAAAACTTCATTATTGCATACGATAATTTTGCAATTTTTATTGTAGTTTCAGAAAAAATTGTGTGTAAAACTTGAGAAGAAAGTGTTTTTCAACTCCCGCTACGCTCATGTGTCAAACTTTGAACTCGAGTTGAAAAACTCCACTTTTTTCTCTAGTTCTACAAATAAATACTGTATATAGAATGATGCAATCGCGAAAAATGACAAAGATCACCCTTCCTGTCCTTATATTCTTGCAACAAAGGTATGCTTAGCTGAAAGCATGGATAGACAGAAGGGCGGACAGAATAATACATTTTGTTGTAATGGTGACGTATAAGTTTGCTATTTGGTATGGTTGGAAAGCATTTTTTCAAAGCTTTCCAACGGCGTAGGTATCACACATGGGGAGTCACTATTTAAGATTTAAAAGTTGGGGTGGCTGGGGCGCAGGGGGTTCGATGGAGTGCGTCGCCACCTATATCATTGTGATTCCCCCTCCGAATTACCGAAACGGATTTTGATTTTTTTAAATATCTCGTTTATTTACTAAGACATGGGGGGTGGTAAGTTTTCAAATTGTCACCCTGTATATTAGTAATGTAGGCCAAACAATCTCTTTGTCATTAATTGGACGAATCATTTTTTTATTTAAGGTAATACTTTACCTACTAATATTGTGCAAAATTTTACGGTCGAATTGAAAAAAGTCATAAGGAAACCAAATTTTTTTTACAATATTTTGTTAAAAAATGCTAAAAGTTCAAATATCCCTGTTGCACTAAAAGGAATTAAAGGAAACCGCAAGCTTTCAGGCACCATGGTTTCCACACTTCTTGTACTTCCCCACATCCTTTACAACCTACTTAAGCACATACTCGTCAGTAAATTCGTTTTCTAACACACGTTTTTTTGCGAACGTTTAAATAAGAACCAGCATTTCCTTAGCCTTAGAGAAACATACCTACTACCCGCCTTCTTGCGTGAAAAATTCAGCGCTTTACATTTTACATCTTAGGGGGGCACAGAGAAATGCCAAGTACTTATAGGTAGTTAACTATACACGGTGTCCATTTTTCGAGTGCCACTATGGGGATCTCGCTTACCTTAAGAGATAGAACGTTGGTTAATGGGGGCAAAGTTGCGAATTTCCCTGCTGAATAACCATCTGAAAAGAAATTTAAAATATCATCAATAATTCTGAAAATATCGCAAAAAAACGAAACTTTCTGATTTTCGTTTTTCATTTTTTCATGATAAACTAGTCCTACTAGACATTTCTAATTAACACATTATTCGAACACTTTTAAATGGAGATTTCGAATGTGAAATCTCGTTTTAAATAACTTTTAAGATGACAGAGAAACACGTAGCAACTTTAGTTTTTCTTATAGCGCCATTTTTAATTTTGAGATTTTAAGATTACGTCTTTTTTTCTCTTTACGACGATATATGACACATGGTGGTTCCGTATCACATTTTTCCTAAAATACAATTTTTAATTTTTTGGGAAGAGTGCTTTGGAAAAACAAAACGTTCTTTTATTGTGAACAAAAGTTTGACAGTTTGATGCATATGTCCGGTTGCAGCGTTGGCATCAGGGAACTAGATGTGTTGAGAAAATTCGATTTGCATATGAACAGAATTGAACCTTCGTTTTGCAAGAAAATTATAATTCATATTAGAACAAAATACATAAGAATAAATAATATTTTAGCAATAAAACTAGCACAAACGTAACTGATACTGCTTTAAATAAGTCAACATTTTGTTCACAACAACAGAACGTTTTGTTTTTGCATAGCACTCTTCGCATAAAATGAAAATTGTATTTTTAGAAAAAATGTATACTGAACCACCATGTGTGATATATCGTCGTAAAGAGAAAAAAGACCTAATCTCAAAATGTCAAAATCCAAAACGGCGCCCATAAAAAAAACTAAAGTTGCCACGTGTTTCTCCGTTATCTTGAAAGTTATTAAAAACGGGATGCTATATTCGAAATCTCCATTAAAAAGTGTCTGAATAATGTGTTAATTAGAAATGTCTAGTACAATTAGTTTACCATGAAAAAGTTAAAAATGAAAATCAGAAATTTTCGATTTTTTGCCATATTTTCAAAACTATTGAAGATATTATAAATTTCTTTTTAGATTATTATTCAGCACGAAAATTCGCAACTTTGCCCTTATTTAACCAAGTTTCTATCTCTTAAGATAAGCGAGATCCCCATAGTGGCATTCGAAAAATGGACACCGTGTATAGGTGAATCCAGGAGTGAATCTTTACGTGTAAATAATAATTGTCTACGTTTCTGCGTATGAAATTATAGGTCTACATTCTGGTCTACATTTACATTATTATTTTTGTTTCATTTTGTTTTGATCTGATGGGAGATAAAAAACGGAACAACATAATTAATCAAAGAAATTCGAGTATAACTTCTAGAACATGAAAGAAAAGAATCTTAACAATCCGAAGGAACATCTAAAGAAACTGAACCCAAATAGTTGAAAAAATTCGCCGCAGGAAGCTCAGGAATAAATTACAAGAATTCTAGGTTTCAATAAAATTTAAAGAATCGGGTTTCAAGACCTACAAGTATACCTAAGGCGAAGAAAAGGGGGAATCTGATAACTCTAATGGGACTCAACAATTTCAAGCATCTGAGATAATTGGAATTATTTTGAAAAGTTTGAAAATTTCGAACGTTTTGAAGCATTTTTACAGCCGATGAATCCGCGGTATAATTGACGATTCCAAACGAATTTAAAGGCAGTAGTGAATCTGAGGAAACCGGAAAATTGGACACAAATCACAAGAAACTGAAAAATCGAAAGAATTTATAGAATCTTAGACTAGGAAAAATTCAACATATAACATTATTGGAAATATTGGTGTACGCAGGCATTAAGTCTGACATTAAGTTGTAACTTCAGGGGCCTATAACACAAACTATACAATTGTAACAAATCTACGAGTTACAAGTAATCTGACTGTACTATAACTGCAAGTCCTACTGAATTTGATATATGCAAGAGCAAGTGAGTTGTGTTATGAAAAAGCTACAAGTTTGAAATATTTTCTAACAATTGTAGGACTTGTACGGCTTGTGTTACAGGCCCCTGGTTAAACATTCTATATCTTCGTTAATATTAACGTACAAAACTGTGCGAGTTGCCGCACAAGTCTGCACAAAGCGAATTTGATCACCATCGGAAACCTTCGTTCTTGGCTTTAATTTGTAACCTCAAATTAAAAATTCTGTGTCTAATATACGTTAGGTAATCTCGACAAAATTTGATATCTGAGGATATTTGAACATGAAAATAAACTTGATGGTTAATTTTGACGCAAAAATCTTAGAACTTTGGTGCAATCAGCACAAAACGCCGAGCATATAATTTCGATACGAATTTTAGTGGCGATCGGAGACCGAGACCGTCGTTCTTGGCTTAAAGTGAAATACCGTATCTCTCTTTTAGTATTGGCTCCCAAATCAGCAGAAAATGAGCACAAATTACCTAATGTTACAAATTCCTTGTTATACGAAAGATAATTTTATTTCAGACTTGATTTTTAATTTAAAGTACCAACTGAATTTGCCAATCTTTTAAATTCCCTAACTATTTTGACTTGCAAGATGGATATAAACACAATTAAACAAAATTGAACTAAGTATAGGTACCTATATGCAAAACCTAAGAAGAACGTGATGCAAGACTGATATATTCCATATTATATGGCCCTCGGCATCATAAGCTCCTTATACCATCAAAATCAGCCCTTACATTAGTGCCGTTTAATGATTATAGCTATACCAAAGGGTTACAGAACAGAGACAGTTCAGTAAAGATTCCCAGTAAAAAACAAGGAAAGTGTAGAAGTGTGAAACTCAGCACGGGAATTTTATGTGAAGTTGTGCGCATATTTGTTTAGGGTAGGTAGTATGCCTGTTGGAATTTCCTGCTCTAGAAGGATTTTAGAGAACGTTTAGATTGAGATGTGGAATTTTAAACAAAAATTCGGATTACACTTACAATTTGAGAGTTAAATCCTACGCTTTACCTCCTAATTAAGTATCCCCCTTATAAAGCAGGAAAGGGGGAAACGCGGTGCGTTTACAAAACGACGCACCACTTCTACGCGATTTGGACCGGCCATGTTAGGAAAATCTCGACGATGGTTGGTCGATGACTATCTCGAAATTCCCGCCCACTGAAAGTGAGGATCTGAAGTTTTGTGTAAATTTAAAGGTTTCATTACTGAAACTACTTCAGGTAGTTAGGGGTTGTCGAACGTGTTTTTAAAGTTTCTCCGTGCAGTGGTTTCTCGTGTTTTGGTGACTTTCTCAAGATTTATGAGTGACAAGTTCTTTTTCTATTAGTACTTATTCAGTGATGTGTTTCTGATCGCATGCATCCATTATCAGTAAAATTAAGTTCGTTCAATGACTATGGTCTCGTATTATAATCCAACAGCAATGTATAGACACCAACAAGCGGTTGCGGCACAGAGTGCTCAATTTCATCACTCCGGCTCATCGATGCATTCCTGGTATCCACCGGGCTACCACCATCAAGCACCCCAAGTAACACCGGCACCGACACCCTCATATTGCATGCAGGACGAACAGCAAATGTGGCACCATCACAGCGTCTTTCATCAGGAGTATCCGGAAATACCACATCACGGTGCCGGAGTTCCGCTGCACCAACAACATCATCAGCAATTGTTAGAACCCGAAAGTCAATTACCGTCGCCGCCGATTACGGTATCCGGTAGCGACATGTCGAGCCCGGGAACAGCGGGCGGCACCATTTCACCACCGAATCCTTTGGCAAGGCCGCCACCCGTAAGGAGTCCCTACGAGTGGATTAAGAAAACCTCTTACCAAAGCCAGCCTAATCCCGGTAAGTTTAACAATTTTACGACCTCGCTACCTCTATTTCACTTTTGGAAGCGTGAGAACGTGAAAATGAGCCAGAGCACCCCCGTCGTGCTTTGACGATTGAGCTGTAAATGCACTTTTCATTCAAGCGCGTGTCCGACGGTGTTACGTAAACGCCTTAAAAACAGTCTCTAACCAGGAAACATTCCTCATTTTTTTGTTTATATTAATAAAACGCAATTAAAGTTTGCTAGATTGATCAATAAAATGACGTAATTCAATTACCCGATGAATGAATTAATGGTACCAATTAGATTACTACCTCTACCATTAAGATATGCTAAGGGGTTTCATTAATGCTTGTAAACAAAGCTTTTAGTTCCTTGATCCTTGGAAAAATTCTCGTCGTCGTCATTATTATACCCCTTCAACATTTGATAGGTTTGGCCGTTCTACCTCTTCTTCTATGAGGCAAAAGGATCGCAAAATTTTAATTTAGCCAAAAACATTTTACCCTTTTAACCACGTTTGGTTGGGCGTACCTTATATGCATTTTTTCTCAGTTATTAACCAGACTAATTAAAAGCCTATGTCATATTTGAGTGATTCGCACCAAGTTTTCAAACTTTGTCGGCCGTATTCAGTAAAAAACAAAATTTTCTGTAGGTACCTCGTACCTACCTTTTTTGTTCTTAAAAAATGATAACATCAAAATAAATTAAACGCGTGTTCGGCCTCAAAAATTGATTAAAAATCATGGGTAGCACTAGCGCTCAGGGTTAATGTGATCTTACATTTCAAATCAAAACGTGGACCTCCATTGGATATGTAAATTTTAAATGAAAGCATTAATGAACTCCAATATATGTTTTTAACAAAAATTTTGCCAATGTGATAAAAGCTTTGAAACCGTACCTATAAGCTAAAAATTTAAATAGTAGATATGTTTATATTATAAGTGATGTGACATATCGCTCCTCCTCTGAATTATAGAAAGTTTGTTTGGGTCTAATTTGATCAAAAATCGTACTAGGAGTATTCAAATTTAATCAAGATATGTACTTAAGAGTCTTCTGTACCCACTTTACCCAATGTAAATTTCCATAAGAGCGCCCGCCATAAAGACTCAAGTTGTTTATCAAAAAAAAAATTTTTTAAGAACTATTTTATAAATTTAGACCTTTATCTACAAAATGTTCGGACTATTTTTTTAAAAAGTGTATAGCAACTGAATATCGATTTTTTAAAGATTAGCTGTTTTGCACCGATTATTGCGCTAATCTGTTTCATTTTTTTACTCGCGATCAAGACGATTTTTGGAAAAAGTAAACCGACAGTTTTCTAGATAAGTTACTTCTAAACATGACCCCAAAAAAATGAAATCATATTTTTTGTAAATAAAGTCTGTATCTTGGCGGGCGGTAATTCAACAATTTCAGTGCAGTAACAAGTGGCGCCGCTGCTTAGTCTCCGCGGGAACTAACTAAGACCAAGACAGGAGTTGACAAAGCAAAAATATCATCTTGTATCTTGCAACTATAATCATCTATATACTATAATGTAAAAAAGTTGCGCTTGGGTAAAGAAGACTCTTAAACCACTAATTTAATCGAGAAAACGGTAAAACATATTTCCATAGTTGCCCGCGCATGTATTTTGACTTACTAATTTCAATGGATTCATCCATTTGTGTTCAAATTGCAATTATAAACTGAAGGAATCTCCTTTTAAATAGCTCTGTTCATTATTTTATGTCTTACTAACCTATATAATAGCACATTTTATATCTGTGATACGCGGGCATAAAGTACCACTTTATGCCCTAGGGCATTAAGTAGCACCATAGTAACTCATTTATGCTTAATGACAAAACAAACAATATTTGCAGGTCATTGAAAATTAGAAACGTCAATTATTGATTGTCAATATCTACTAAATCACAAGATTGGCTTTATTTCGTATAGTTGCTGGAACTTCTTCCTCATTCACGATGAATTGAATTATTTAAAATTACGTTTGACGTTTGGATGGTTTCAATGACATTAACAAATTTGAACCACGCATATTCGATCAAACATAATGAATTATTTTGTAAACGAATTTTGACGAAGAAAACTATTTGTAAAACATAAAATTGTGTATGTACCACGGGCATAAACTGATGTTTATCCTCTCGGGCGACTAAAAAGCTCTCGGGCCATAGGCCCTCGAGCTTTTTAACTCGTCGCCCTCGAGAATATAAACATCGCTATTATGCCCTTAATACATAAATAACTATTAATGTAGGTACTATGCGATCAAAAATGAGTTGCTGTCGAGTCACCTTTGGAATTTTTGTTTCCATGGGAAATCGTAGTTAGCTTGAGCTTCCAAAGGCGACTCGACAGCAACTCATTTTTGATCGCCCGTTAATCCTGTATGTAACTGCTAGCAAGAATTTCTAGAAATAGGGTGATGAATGATGAACGATTGAAGCTCGAGTTCAAAAGTAACAAAAAAATGTTTTTTCTTTGAAAGATACCCAAATTTTTTCAGGGAATCAGTTTGTTTTTTATACGTAAATCAAATTTTCCATTTCGCTGATCATATTCAAACAGCGAAGTATTGTTTGTTAAAATAAGCTCATATGATTAAATCCGATTTTTATGTGTTTCAGAGATCATTCGTTTTTTATTTTTAAAAAGTTAATTAAGTTAAATTTGACAACGTTGTCAGTGACAGTTATAGGTAGTTGTCATAATTAGTGTTGTTATAATTATTGTAGCTGTTTAAAATTCAACGCGAATTAATGCTTCTGATTTTTTGTTTGTAAGTTCAATAATACATTTTTCTTTAATTTTTAAATTTTTAGTTTATTTATTTACTATTGTTCAAAATATCCCTGAAATAAATGAAAATCGGATTTGAACATATGAGATCATTTTGCTTATTTTTGCTGGACATGTCCGTAAAATATTTCCATTTCCTCCCGAATCACCCTGTATAAGGTATACAACCAATTTCAGCATACTAATAAAAAATTTTAGTGTTCACCACGGAGGAGTAAGATTCGCTGACACGTCGGAATTTCCTTCCGATTTGTCAGCGAAAACTCACTTCTCGTCCTTGGTAAACAATATCCTATTATTTATAAAATTTTTTGTTATTAAAAATTTCGTGAAAGTCCTGAATAAGGACGGCAAAGCTTTTTTTACCTTGATGGATATTTATATAATTTCCTAATTAGTGATGCAAAAGTAAAAGGTCGGGCCCCAAATATGAAAGTTACTCAAAAATCTTCAGTTTGATGCAGTGTTACGAGGGGTAGAAAAAAAATGCGTGGCATAGTTTTAAAGTAGGTAGTTACAACAAACTTTTTGGGAAATAATAAAGCGGTAAACCACACGTTCAGTGGAATGTGGAAAACATGATGGGAGTCATAGAAAAAATTGAAGTACAACATGTTCTTTAAAAGTACATGAGTGAGGGACACGGTACGATACCCAGGACGATGGAATCCTATCCTAAGAATCCTTACAGAATACCTACAACTGGAGCATCCAACGCGAAACCCTAAGGAACGTTATACAAATACAATGACAGGCAAAAAAACGTTGCTGGTATTCGATTTTGACTTTTCTTGGTGTTTTGCCACATTTTTACACGTTCCTGTTTTTTTTTTAAATAAATCGTTCCATTTGAGCTTCAGACACATAAGTCGGGCAAAAAGTTTATCGGGAACCCAACACTATTAAATTTTCCGTAGGTACTATTTTCAGAAACTAGGAACCTTCAAAAGTACACTGTCAATATCGTGGCAATCCAACCGTTTGGATGCGAGTTACACTGGTTTAAGCGACGTTACTCTTATTACTTTTAAAACAATAAATAATGGATTCAAAACAGTTTCGTGTGGTAATATATCACTGCTTGTTGATGGGAAAAAATACCATCAGCGCAAAGACTTGGCTTGATAAATGCTACCCGGACTCTACTCCGTCAAGAGGAACCGTTGAGCGCTGGTTTGTAGAAATTAAAATAATGTGGTCGTATGACACTGAAAATGCTGAACGTTCCAGTCGGCCAAATGATGTTGTTACATCAGAAAACAAAAAAATCGTGATGGACAATCACAAAATAAAGTTACAACAACGAGTTGACTATCCAATGCAATGTTTGGAGCATGTTCAAACGTAATAATAGTATATTATATATCGCGGGACTGAAGTAGTACTTTTAATCCCGAAGGTAAAGTTTACCTGAGGGAATAAGACTACTACTTCAGTCGCAAGGTATATACGATACTTGTCGTACTTCCGAAACTAAAACGTAGGTATACATTATGTATGGCGTTGATTTTGATAAAAGAGCAGCTGAACTAGGTGAAGAATTGATACCACCGAAGTTCAAAAAACTATATGAGCATCAGTACGATGCGTTTAAGAAGTGGTGCCGCATAAAAATGTAGAACAACCTACTGAAAATGCCTTTCATCCTTCCGGGATTTTCGTCTAAATTTAATCCCGGAGGGACAAAAAGTGACACTTCAGTGCTTGTCATAATGGAGTGAAGTTGTCACTTTCGTCTCGGAAGTACGAAAAAAAGATTTTTTTCTGTGACGGGAAAAACGTTTGACATTTTATCCCTGTTGATAGGTAACAAAATGTCACTTTTTATGAAATTACTTTTTTCTCCGTGAAAAAAAGTGAGTACTTTCCGGATTATACTCGCATATACACATAAAGTAAAGATAGATATTCAATTTTTGTGAGGCTACTTTCACTGCTTCTATAACTCAGGTGAAGTCAGAGAAAATTTAGAATCAGACGTTTTAAACTTTATATCATTCAATATAATTACTAAATAATCATTAAATTCGAAATGTTTAAATGAAATGACAAAACTGAATTGACAGATATTTGAGTAAAGGTTTCCTTAGCAACGAGTTCGTATTGTCGCGAGAAGTACAATAGCCTATTTGCAGTTGAAAACTTCAAATTTCTATAAATCGATACGACTTCAATATATCGTTTTCCCCGTCACAGAAAAAAAATAATGTATTTTTAAAGGTGCCCCTGCAGAAGGTCTTAAGTTGTTCTATACTACTCTGGTATTTACCTACCGAATAAGGAAAACTGTAGGATTTAATTGTATACCAAAGTTAGTTATTTCATTGATACGTCTTCATACAATAAACGAATTATTCAGAAGTGTAGAGTCCGTCAGAAGGCACCTAAGCGATTCCTTCAGAAACTTGTTAAAGGTGCTTCGGTAATGAACATACTAAAGGGCTTGGCGCCTAGGTGGCGAGGCGAAGAACAACAACAACAGTTGTAGAGAATTTAATGAATTTTCATATATAATATTGTCCTCCATTTTCCCCTATGATCCCTTGCCAATATACATGCGGAAAACTAAAAAATGGTCTGCCTGTCCGTCTGTCTGTTCATCTGTCTGTCGGTCCACCTGTCTGTAAGTCTTCTGTCTGTCCGTGTGCACGATAACTTTGTGTATAAACGTTCGATCGCTTTCAAAATTGTTAAACATGTTTTTCAGACGTAGACTAACGGGCCAAAAAGTTACATCCCAAAAACTGCCCAAACCTCCAAAAAAGGGTTTCTTTTACAATTCTTGTTACAAAAAACATAAATGCATGTCCGACTTTCTGTGTTAGTAAATATTCCTTAAACCTCAAGTAAGTATGCTGATGAAAAAAAATTTCCCATGCGCAACCCAACTTTATATTTGCGCAATCCCACCTCGACTAAACGTAAAACTAATGCCAACTCAAAGAATTTGTTTTACAAGATATGGTGATCTACCTCTAAGATATGTTTTAAAAATGAATAATTGGTGAATGCAGATTCTGTAGGAGTTCCCTCAAGTTCCTCCGCGATTAAAAAAAATGTAATTAATAGTGCTAGTATTGTGCTAAATTGAGCTGATCAAATTTTACTTTGTGCTGATCTAGAAATCAGTTTTCCTTGAAGTGAAACGCAGGGGCTAATTTTAGTTTCAGCCCCCGTTTTTTTAAGGTACGAATTCCACTATTGCTTTAACGAGTTAAGCCCGATGCATATTGGATTGTGCCGATCAAATATTCGAAAACGATACACGGTAGTTCCTAAAATTCCTAAAAATATCAATTCAAAATCGGCATCTCTATATAGGACGTTCAAGTTACTGTATTACCTAAAATTCAATTTTGTAATGCATGAATATGATTCTATTGGGCGATTTAATTGCCAAACATCAACTATAGGTATTAAAAATTTGAAAGATCCATAACAAAAGTCGCCTTTTTTTTAAATTCGAAGGACCAATTCAAGATCACGGTCCCTACCATATAGAACAAATTCTTGTGTATTAATTTGAGTACATTTTCTTCCGATCGTCATTTTTGCTTTTAGATGAGAAGGAACGAGAAAATGGAAAATGGAAATGTTTTTGTTATACATCAGTGTCGCGTGTTCAAATCTCAACTATAGATGGTTGCGCATCTATAGTCATTATTTTTTTATGTACAGGGTGTCCCATTTTTAAGATGTTAATAGGTAACTTTTTTTTTAATAGAACATCTTGAACATGTTTCGATGTCATTTGTTAACCACTACATTGAACGCTATCTACTTTTTGATTTTTAGCGGAAAAAAAATGTGCTATTATATTCGTTATGGCTGGCTGGCTGGCTGATCGGCTGAGATCTCAACAATTTCAATAGTTAGAGAGTTTTCTGCATAGTATAGATGTGCAGGCTCTAGTCTATTTTGAGTTAGATTGCTCGTGAGATCGATAATTTTAAACTTTGCTAATGAAATACTGATTTCTTTCCAAATAATTCCCCATCGGTAAGCAAGTTTCACGTTGATAAATCGCAGCGACCTTGGTTTTCGAAATTAGGAAAGAAAAATTAGGAACAATAATTTTAATCCGAATAAAAGGCTTGATAATGATACAGTTGGATTTAGTGACACAGGGTGTTTACAAGGAAATGGTTTCCGAATTTCAAAGTGCCATAACTTTGCAAATGGAACTACGAATATTTTATTTCACTATTCGATAGTCTGTTGTGTTTTCTTCAATTTTTGTAAGGGATGTCCAGTATCTAAACCCCGTAGTATTCAATATTGTTTCGGAAAAGTACCTACCCATAAATGCTTATGAACCGGAGTAGGCTGTGATAATAAAAAACAAAAGAATGCCAAAAAGTAAACAAATGTCACAAAATGATTATACTTGATGCAAGTGTGGGTACTCCCTATTTCATAGTAAAATAAGCTTAATTAAAAAGATAAATTGGAAAAAGATGAACTAGTCACTATGATCTTTATACTATGGGAGACTGGTAGTAATTGCTCATTAGCAAGTAGAATTTATCTGGAAGAAAAAAGTTACAGAAATGTACTTAATCGATTTGGTGAAACCGAAAGTGTGAAACAGGAATGAAGAAAATCCATCCTCAACAAGGAAAACGAATTGTCAGTGCTATTTACGATAACTGGGCATCCACATATGAGATATCGGTGAAGCACCCGGATTAAAAAGTTATTTGTACAACTAGAAAAGAAGGTGGAGTTTTTCAACTAGGGTTCAAAATTTCGTCGAAAAACACTTTCTTCTCAAGTTTTACAGACAATTTTTTCTGAAACTACAATCAAAATTGAAAAATTATCCTATGCAATAATGAAATTTGACACATAGCAATCTAGATAAGGGCGTGTTTCAATTTTAAATGTCATTATTAAGATTAACGCAGCAATTGTTTTTTACTTTCCTCACTAGAGAAGAAAATCACATTTTCTTCGCCCTTTTTTGAGACGAAAGTAGTAGTTTCTAAAGTACTTTCAGAAAAAATCGTTTTTACACCTCCAACATTCAGTTGCACAATAGGAACTCACCAATTACAATTTTCAAAAGCGTTCCGAGTTTTGCGTCTGAGCAAGGCCGCAGATACGGGAAGATCCTTTTTCCAGTATGTATTATTCTCAGATGAGGGGGACATTCCATAGGAGTGGATCTGTATAAATAAGCATAATTTTCACTATTATTCAAACGAACAGCCTCATTTTCTGAGACCGGTTGACGATCAGCGTCGCTGGTCTTTGAATGTTTGGGGAGGAATTATCAATGGTCATCTTAATGGGTATATATGTATTTAAATTTGTTGCAATGTGACTGACCCGCCTCCATTCTTTGTGTGCAGGTGATTATTGTACCATTGTGAGTCTAATTTCGATTTCGTGTGTCTTGTAGGTAAATGTCTAATGAATTTGTGATCATGTAACACTCGTTTTAATCAGCTCACTCTTAAAAAATTATTACGTCTACTGAATAAACCTATTCTTTTTAACTACGTGTAACGTGTGAATCTCAGGTTTAGGAAACCCTGTAGGTCTTTACATTTCTCAACAGCTGAGAATTTTCGTGCTGGTACCAAAAATATTGCAATTTATACTCTGTCAATCAATTTGGTTAAACGTTAAATAGCAACAAGAGTGAAGAATGGTAAAGTGCTGAATACTTGCATCAAAAGCTAGGAAGAGCTCAAATTTCTGAAATTATTAAAAGGATACTGAAATGGTTCTTTGATAACTCGAGTCTTTCCTACGTTCTGACAATAAAATTTAAAACGTATCTGATTCTACCTATAACAGTATTTAGAAAGTAACAATTAGGCGCCTACGAAATTGGTGAGAACATCGCCGAAATGTCTTTAACCTTCAGGTAGAACATCTCCAACAATACGCAGGTAACTCAGGAAGCCTTTAGCTTCTTTCACCATTTTCCAGTTATTTGCATTGAATGCATTAAACTTACACGGCTTCCTGTCCACGAGAGCAGGTAGACCTCCGCTAGTTATAATTACCATTATTTCTAAGCCGAAGCCGACAATTTCAACATATTTACTCACTTTGTCAAGGATTTCATCAACGTATACGTTCATATTTAAAGCTAACGGCACCCAAAACGAGATAAGCTTGATCTCGTTTTTAATCTTGGTCTGCTCATTTATTTTAGTACTTCGCCTTGTTGTTGTAAAAAGTATTGTTTAATTACGAATTAATCACGAACTAGGGTACGTTATCATTTTTTTTTTGTTTAAATTACCAATGCCTGATATTAAAAGTAGGTACATAAGTGAAGTTTCGTGTTTGCCCAGCTTCCAACGTACATGTTAATGAATGTTAATAAAAAGCTTCTGGATGTTAATATTTAACACGGTCCTTCTAAAATTTTGTACATACCGGCTATAAATAATTGTACCTTAAGATCTGTAATGGGGCAATATTTTTCAAGCGACACATAAATAAACAATGAAAATTTGTACAGCTGCCGCTGGTTTATTGATGTCTTATTATTGTAACAACTAATGCAATAATAATTATTTTATTATTTATGATTTTATGAACTCACGGTTATTATACTTTAATTATTATTATATACTGTCTTGTAGTTTATAAATTATGTAGTAAGTGTTCTTTTTGTGTCGCGCCTTAAAACTCGTTTGTTAGTAGGGCCGTTTTTCCAATTTCAAACTACAATAATACGTGTAAATTGCCAACGTTAGTTGATTACACTTGGAAATTTTCCTGTTTTAGAGGCTGGCGCAATAAATCCAGAATCCTACCTTCTCGATTACTCCACGCAGGAATGTCCTGGTACGAAATTACGATTATAGTATGAGTGTTATAGTTAGTTTTCTTTTCAGTGGTGCATTTTTGAGCTTTGTTCTTATCTTCTTTTTGTTGTTAAGCGTCTCGTTCTAGATGTTTGCTACTTTAATCTAATGTTGATCTAAGCTTTCGTGTGATGGTTTTATTGCGTCCGTAATTCTTAGAATGGCGTATTTGTAGGTAGTATACAGTTTGTAGAACATTTTTGTCTATTGTTTTATTACTATGAGTTTCGCTATTTTTTGTAATTCCTACTTTGAGTCACACAAGACGCGTTACGAAACAAAATGGAGTCGTTGTATTATAAATTTAGGCGCAATTAATTAACATTTCCACGATTTACATTTTATTAAAAATTTACTACGTCTTAAAAAGTTGAACATTGAGATACCCGCTTTTTATATCTCTCCACTAACTGGTTTTTTGGTATTTGATATGCACGCGTATAAATGAAAATTTTATATGGAAAACAGGTGTGTGTAGCCATAAAAACGCCATTTTAAACCTGTAGTATTCACTAACCAATAAGAAACGGTCTTTTAGACCCTATTTCTTTAACATTTTATAACCACACACGATAATATCTTGATTTAAGCTACGCATAAAATACGTGCACGTTATTAACAACTAAATGATTATTCATTTCGAGTGTGGAAAAGGAGCCGTCAAAATATGCACACCCGAATCACAACATTGTGTCAGTTACATCTCAATAATCCCAAATTTGACCTGGCAAACGAAACCAGCAGGGGGTTTCTAAGTAACCTTAAAGATTAACTTTTGAAACTTGCCGAAGTTTAAAGCACCCCCTAATAAAATCCGAAGACATCCTATTTGCTTATAACGGCACCGTCAAATCGAACGTGCCGATTTCAATGCTACTTTAAAAGCATTTGGCGACAGGATAATAAACAGACCTAGTCACCCTCTACGTCATTTACACCTTACCTACTGCATCCTTTTTGCCTTTGGCAACGTCCACCACGCATGCACAAATCCTTCGTGCACGCACAACAATCGAAAAAAAAGAGAACGCAACTAATAAAAAAAACGAAACAAAACGTCCATAAACATACTTTAAAAATAAAACAACCATAACAATAAAATAATCATAAGAATTTTATGGGTACATTTACGGCATCTCATTGGATATAAAACTAGACGAAGAACACAAATCACAAACTCGTGAAAGTTACATGCTTTGAAGTAAATCAATTTTCGAACGTGCTTGGCACGAAATCTTTTTATGTCCTTTGGAAAATTTTCCATTGGCTCGCCCGACGCGCTTACAAATAAAAAGAAAGGAACGACCAGAAATTCGAAATTATTATTTATAAGCTCGCGGCCGTAAATTATACGGCAAAGCACGCCAAATATTAATTAATATTTTATAACTAAAATTCCGGCTCCTGTACTTTTTAACAATCTTTCAACGCGGCTATAACTTCAGTTGATTGAGGTTTTAAGATAAGCCGTAGATTTTAAAGACGCGCTCGAGCTCGTCAATTCGTCTTTTAATTAAATATTAATGGTATTGTGGATTATACTATAGGTAATAAATAGGAATGTAGCTCCTGTTCGAGGCATATAGTGGAAGAGCCCAAGTAATTGACAGCCATTTCGGAAATTCGGCAAGAATATAAGTAATTAGAGTATTACTGTAAAATTACCTTCGTATAACACAATTTGAATCAAACACCAAAAAAAGTGTATTTGTTTTAATAATTTTTTTGCTTTAATGTTTGTTAATTGAACTGGTGTTAATTTACTAAATACCGAACAAAAAACGTGCTTTCTGTTACATGCCCGGCCGATTTGGTTCAAAATTTCCGAATTTTTAGTGTGATCGTAATAGGAAAAGGGTTCGGGTTATTTGCTGGGGCGAATCCGACTTTAAGTCATGGTAATTCTGCATTTTTTCAAAGTTTTAATATTCAAATCCGAGAAAGGGAATCGGCCCTTTGAGCCACTGATAGAAAGCTTGACTGCTTTGAGGTGTTAGAGAATCCGGTCCAGTTTTTTGCTTACTGAAAGTATAGGCTATAATAAAATAGTGTTTTATTCAATGTCACTACTTAAAGTACATCTACAATAATGTAATAAATATCTGCCATATTTCTACTTTTAGCAGGCTACACAAAAATGACTGAAAAGGGATCGCAAAAATTATTGCAATCTCTGCGAAATAATTTCCATAGGAATCTTTAAATAATGTCAGGATTCTTCTATCATGAAATAGTTTTGATGTTTGGGATCTCGGCCTGCTTGATCTGAAAGGAATTTCAACAAGCACTTTTTTATTTTTTTAAATCTAAAAGATAGCCGTGACAATTGAGAAAAATCTTTGTGTGTTTAAGTAAAGTCCCATATCGGTTAATAATACGGCAAACTAAAAAGTTGTTTAGAATAGGGATGAAATGTCCGTATGCAAAATGTACAAAACATTGGATCACTTTGATTAAATCAGTATTTGATTTTGTGTAGTCTTGCATAGCGACCACAGAAACAAGTAGTCTGTGAAGATAAAACAAATGAACTATCATTACCTGCCATTAAGATTAAAGTGACATCTAAAACAATCTGCTATTGCAGAGTAAATAGTTCAAGTGCAAGACTACAAATCAAATATGTATTGATCAAAAGTGATCCGATATTCCTGAAATTTTGCATATGGACACAATTTCATATTCTAAACGACTTTTCTAAATAAAAGTTTGCCGAAATAGCACTCTACCTAAACCCAAAATGATTTTCTTCTCAATTATCACTTCGATCTTAGATTTAAAAAAATAAAAATGTGCTTGAAACTCTTTTCAGATCAAGCAGGCCGAGATCCCAAAACATCAAAACGAGAATCAAACATTTTCGATCAATTACACGTATATAGTGAAGTCAATCCGGGGAAACCTATCACAGTATAGTGTGACACACATGTTCTATTACCAAATTTTTTTATATACAGGGTGTTAATACATACTACGTCGGTAAACCCCAGAACGGCAGCTACAATTCATTAAAACAAACAACTTTTCTTAGTTCCAGTTATTGATTTGATGCGCCGGTTTTGTTTTTCGAAAAATCGTCATAATTAATTAGAAAAAAATAAAAAATTTCAAAACTACTTTCAACTCTCTAAAACATTTGTATTTGCAATTATTTTTTCCAATAACAAAATGACGATCGATCAAAAATTTCATAACAAGATTTTTTGAGAATCAATCCGTCAATTTTTGAAAGTAAAACATTTATAAAATGCCAAAGGAACGCCAATAACCTCGAACCGGGGACCAAATTAAAAAAATTGGAACTAAGAAAAGTTGTTTGGTTTGTGTGCTAGACTTTATTGAATTTATTAATGCCACTGTATTTGAAGCTTCAATGAGTCTACGTATATTAGATCATAGACCAAATGAAAAAGGTCTTTCGAAGTCCTTTATTTTGACGATTTATTTTTTAAAATCGATCGATTTGTTTTCGAGAAAATTAGAAAAATCTTTATTTAATTTGTTCAGATAAAAAATAAAAACAAACGAAAATATCACTTTTTATTTCAATAAGTGTTCAAAATGTTGTCCGTTATTGGCCAATGATATAGGTGATGTTCAAAAGCGTGACGGACATTTTCAAAACCATGCTTGAGGATATTATGGTAGCTTTCGATGATGCGTTGACGAAGTTCATCCAAACTTTCAGGTTAAATAAATTAAATTAACTGACAGCAAATTAAATTATTTGTTTCCAATAGCAACAAATAAGTGATATTTTCGTTTGTTTTTGTTTTCTATTTGAGCAAATTAGTATAGGTATAGATTATGCTCTTCTGCAATGACAGTTTACTTTTCAGAAAACGACCATTAACAAAAAATTCAGCAAGTTATAGGAAAAAACGAAACTTGTCCTGAATTTGAACCTTTTCTCTAAATTTGTGCCGTTACATAGTGCTTTATAAAAAACTATAAAAATCATATTATTATACTATTTACAAAGCAAATTTTAATTAAGCCCTTTGTAAATAAACAGAAATCAGGTCAAAAATTTTAGTTCTTGAGAGAATCTCTAATGATTAATGAATTTAGAAATATCTCGAGTAATTATCTCTCAATATCAATAAAAACTTTGTGGATAATATACAGGGTGATTTGCTTTGCAGAATATTTAGTTAATTCTTCAGAAGATTAAAGAACACCTTTAACCTTTTAACGAATTTCAACACTCATCCAGAATCATGTTACGGCGGATTTACCGGAATTAATATTAATTGATGTTCATTGGAAATTTTAGAAATTATAAGAACAAAAATTATTTTCTCCGCCGCAGATTTTAAGTCACTGGGATAAAAAGAGTAATATAATTGTATATCATCCGCATGCATATGATAAGTAACATGTTTTAGTATAACCGAAACTGTAGATGTGTACATGATATAGAATAACGGACCTAAGATTGAACCTTTAGGGACCTCTTTGTTAATAGTGTGAATTATAATTTGGAAACTTTGTTGGCGGTTAATTTCTAATTAATTTTACTGCATACGTATCAAAACCTAAGCAATGTGGGTAATGTTATCAAGATGTCATGATTTAATGTATCAAAAGTTTTGCTATAGTCAAGCAATATAAGTACCTACTGTAGGCATTCCTTTCAGTTTCTTACAAAACCTGTAAGTTTTGAGTGGAGCATGGATATAAAGTAATATGTTTAAATTGTCGTTAATAAAAATGATTTTCTCATTGATATCCATACAATTATAATTTTTTTTCCACGGTATGGAATATAGGTGTTTATAGGACAGTGAAGAATCAAGATTTTTAAAATCCCTATAGGAGGCCCGTATAACCACTACAAAATCCTGGATGAGAACAATGTTTGCGTATCCAGCACATAACGATACGTGAAGCTAAAAAAGAAATATCTGTTGCGTGGCATTCTTTTGACATTTTGCAATTTACAAGGTGCTGAATTTCATTGGCCAAAGGTACTCAAAA